CTTGTTGACCACGTTTAGACAGAGCAAGGTGCACTTGAGCTTGTTGACCACGTTTAGACAGAGCATCATGGCAAGAGGTGACATCATTTCCACACCTTCCCCTGTCGCTTGTGCCTTTCCTCCCTGTCTTGTCTCTCTGCCGGACTTCACCTTCCTGAGAGCCATCTTAGGAGCCAGCTGACCACCCACAGGGGAGCTGACCCAGACTCCTCAGCAGAAATCTCTGATGAGTGTCAACCGGCGGCGGTGTCTTCTTGTTTCCCTCCAGATGAGAACGAGTGTCTCAGCGCTCACATATGCGGAGGAGCCTCCTGTCACAACACCCTGGGGAGCTACAAGTGCATGTGTCCCACCGGATTCCAGTACGAGCAGTTCAGTGGCGGCTGCCAAGACATCAATGAATGCGGCTCCTCCCAGGCTCCCTGCAGTTACGGCTGCTCCAATACAGAGGGAGGCTACCTGTGTGGCTGTCCACCTGGCTACTTCAGAATAGGCCAAGGGTAAGCACTGCCCACCCGGGATGTTGTGTGTAGAGGCCCTGTCCTTCGTAAGAACACGAACTGTATTTAACTCCAAAGTACCTGTCCTAAGGGAGAGAATCCATGCATTCATTCCAGCTAGCTTTGCAAGGACTTTAGGTTATCGTCTCTCAAAGGGCTGTCAGGATTTCTGGACATTCTGAGACCATCAAACAAGAGAATGAAACTACATTCTGGCTACTTTGTGCTAGGTGATTTCTCCGTCTCAGTCTTTTGATCTTAACACTGCACAGGACAAGGACTCCCCTCTCAACTAATCCAAGGACCAACCAACTCATGACGGCGCGGGGCTCACTTTCTCTTTGGGTGGGGGCAAGGAAGGTGCTGGATCCTCACTTGACTTAAAATACCTTCTCTTCTTGCTCCTTGGAGGATAAAGCAAAGAGATACCCTTTTATTCAGGGACCTTTAGGCTTTTAAAGTATAGTTGCCATTTTAGACTTAATTTCCGTTAAAATTACCAAAAGAATATTAAATAAGAAACTCACTGCCAGCGAGTCGATTCTGACTCCCATTAACCCCACAGAATGGGCTAGAACTGCCCCTGGGGGTTTCTGAGACCAATTCTTTATGGGATTAGAAAGTCTCATCTCTCCTCTGTAGAATGGCCAGTGGTTTCGAACTGCTGACTCTGCAGTGAGCAGCCCAATGCTTGCTGTGGAGGAAACACCACTAAATTATAATGAGAGCCCAGGAAACGGACATAGTTGTATTTTATTCAGTGATCTTAAACAATAGTTTTAAATCCTCCAAGTTTAGACCTTTTTCCCTGCTGAACTAATCAGGACTTAGATGCCTGTGGAAGAACACTGCTGGTGTGGTGGGTTAAGCACTGGACCCCTTAAAATGATGTCAGCTGTTCGAATCCTCCAGCCACTTGGTGGGAGAAAGAGGAGGCTGCCCACACCTAGAAAGATTTACCATCTCAGAAACTCTATGAAGTAGTTCTCCTCTCTCCTATTGGGTCTCTGTGCATCAGAATTGGCCCAACAGCGTGGAGTTGAGATGCCTGTGGGCACCTTGTCCTCCCATCTAGTTTTAGCTATTCTGGGGTATTCTCTGTGAAGCACCTGAAATTTTAACTTGTAATTCAGAGCGTGCACACATTAACTACACATACACACATTTGCACATACTTATGTCTGCCTCCCTGCCCCACCTTCCACATACACTCGCCAGATTATTATCCTAGTGGTCTTTGATTTATTGACACACACATGTCAAGTGAATTAATTTTTTGTTGCCTCATCTTGGAGGTGGAAGAATATTTCTGGTGGCATGCCAGCAGTAGGGCAGATGTTTGTGTCAGGCGCTCAGTAGACTCGTTCTTCATAAGTTTAATGCCAGAACCATTTTTTCCCAGCAAAAATTGTGACACTCTCTGCTGGCTACTGGCCAGTGGGATTTTGTAGTCACACTTCTTCTAAGTGGTATTCCGGAGAGAGGGGCTGGGAAGGAGTGCTGGGAAAGGAGTCAAAGATGATACATTTAGGGCTCGTCTTCCAGGAAGTTAATTCTTACGTGAACGTGTACACACACACAGGCACACAGGATGGGTGCGTGTAATGTCATCTCTTTTGTGATTTCCACACATTTTCGCATACAGGATAAAGTCAGAGGAAAGGTCGTGTAGTACACTCTGGCAAGATTAAGGAGAACAACAACCAAACCCCTTTTCCGTCCCCCCCCCAAAAAAAAACCCCACAGCTAGTGCGTCAGTTCCAAGTCACTGCCACCCTATAGGATAGGGGCCAACTCCTCCCAATGTCCCCAAGACTGTACAGCTTGACGGAAGCAGACAACCTCCAATCTCTCCCTTAGGGCAGCTGGTGGGATTGAAGGCACTGATTTTGCAGTTAGCAGCTTGACACTTTATGCACTGGCCCACCAGGGCTCCTTAGAGAGAAGAGTCCGCACCTAGCAATTACTGGAACCTGCAGGAAGAATTCTGCTCCTTGATATCAGTTTGCTTTTGAATCCTAAGTGCATGAAGTAAAATGGATTTTAAAGAGTGGGCAAACTGTTACAGAAAAAGAGATAAATAATAATTGGTTGACACGGCCCAATAGGAGAAACATACCCATTGATAGTGGCATTGACCTCTCTACAAGCCACTAGAATGGACTCTGCCCCCAGATGAAACCTCTTCTTTGGGCCATTCAGATGCTCCAACACATTTTGAAAGAAGAGGCACATTCCAAGTAGCCTGTGCAACAGGGAACAGAGTAACAGGACGAGGTCCTTGGGGGACATGCAAGCCTCCCACCATGACTTGGCTCTGATAACTGAGAGGCAAAGGAAAACAGCTGAGTTAGTTTTCTCTGGAGCCTGGGTTTGTTGATCCGGCTTCACAAGAGTCCGCGCCAATGGCCCCGGCGGTTTTGAATGACTTGAAATGATTTCTCACAGTTGGGCAAGCTGGGATATTTTCTATAGCGGGTCTGTTTTCTGTGTGGCATATCGGCCCAGTTGTATTTACTAAATCAACCCTTAGTTATCCCCTAGAGCTTTCTTTCAAATCACCAATTGTTTGAGCAGAAAGGAAGGTTCTACTCAGAGAGATGAGTCCGAAGGCTCCTCCGCGGAGGGCTGGTTGGTGGTGATGGTAGCAGTGTGGTGGCATCCGGTAATAAGCCTTCCCCATTGCCATGGATATTCATTTCATAGAGGACCACGTTGAGTTAGCTTCCCAAAGCACCGTGACCCTCCTTCTCTTTTTTTTTTTTAAAACATTGTATTAGGGGCTCATACAACTGTTATCCCAATCCATACACACATCAATTGTGTAAAGCGCATTTGTACATCATTCTCAAAACATTTTCTCTCCACTTAAACCCCCGACATTAGGTCCTCATTTTTCCCCTCCCTCCCCGCTCCCCCCTCCCTCAGGAGCCCTTGATAGTTTATAAATTGGTATTTTGTCATATCTTGCCCAGTCCGACGTCTCCCTTCACCCACTTTTCGGTTGTCTGTCCCCCAGGGAGGAGGTCACATATAGTTCCTTGTAATCCTTTTCCTCTTCCCTTCTCGTCATGCTGTGGTGCGCCAGCAAGTCAGTTCCAACGCGTGGCCACCTGTTGGGCAGAGGAGTAACTGCCCTATAGGTTGGGAACACGGTACTCTCTGCGGAAGCAGACTGCCCCACCCTTCTCCCGCAGAGTGCCTGGTGGGTTTGAACGGTCGACCTTTCCGTTAACAGCTGGGCACGTCACCCCTGCGCCATAATACTAGAATCCTGGTTTTGCAAATGAAGGCTTAGCGATTCTGAGAGGTGACCAACATCATCTGCCTATGGTTACTAAGCAACGCTTTGCAGACCCTGATGCATCGGGGCCCTATAGGTCAGACCCTATAGGATCTGCCGGGCAGTAGTCTTTATAGAAGGGATCCCTACGTCTTTCTCTTGCAGACTGCTGGTGAGGCAGAGTGGCAGATCCTTCCATGAGCAGACAAGTACTGAACGGCTGCGCCATTAGGGCTGGCTCCTTTCCTCCGTAGGATAAGTCCCATCGAATTGCCTGCCACGTGGAGTTTGGGAAACAGCGGGGCCCCTAACGATGCAGAGCGTGGTCTTGTGGATGGCGGGAAGAAAGCCTCTGGGGAACGTGAGGCCGTCGTGTGGTTCTCAGGGCCCGCCGGTCACGCAGGAGAGATGGCACCAGAGCCCTTGCCCCACCCACTTTCCTTCCTGGTTCTAAAATAAACCATCTGTGCTTCCTGTCCACTGCAGACACTGTGTTTCGGGAATGGGCATGGGGCGAGGAGGCCCGGAACCACCTGCCAGCAGTGAGATGGACGACAATTCCCTCTCCCCAGAGGCTTGCTATGAATGTAAGATCAATGGCTACCCCAAGCGGGGCAGGAAGCGAAGAAGCACCAACGAGACGGACGCCTTGGGCCTCGAGGTGGGTCCAGGGGCTTCTTCCCCGGTGGGAAGGCCTTCTAGATTCCTGTGGCTTCCTCTGGGGGTGCTCCAACGTGTGACAAAGCTCCCCGGGGAGAAAATCCAGACATTCCCTGGGCTCTAGGCCACATTTTACAAGAGTCTGTGGGACTTTCTGAAGTTGCTCTCTGCGTACAGGGAGGGGCCGTCCGAAGGTTTTTCACATACTTGCTCATTTCCTCTGTCTCGCCAAAAAGAAAATCAAACACCCACCCAGCGTCTGCTGAGAGGACAGGGTCTGAGTTCCAGGACAGCAAGTGGGCAGCGTAGCAAAGTGACCTAGCGCTTGTGCTTGGGGACGCCAAGTCCTGCAGGCTGGAGGCTCCTCTCCTGAAAAGAGCCATGTGGAGTGAGGGAACTTGGACGCGAGACAAACACAACACGGGCTGAAGCAACCTGGTTTTCTTTGCCTCCGGCTGCCGCAGCCTTTCCGTCAACCCGGAAACCCGGGGATCAAGGACCCCTGGCGGCGGGCCTGGAGAGGCCAGCGTGCCGCCCGGGGAAGGGCAGGGAGCATTAGCAGATCAGCAGTCAGGAAGCAGATTCACAGGTGTGCCCGGGGAGGGGATGCTTTTGCAGTCAGTGAGCGAAACTGCAAGGAACACATTCTTTCTGAGGGTCCAGGCTGCTGCAGCCATCTGCTGGGGTTTAGGAAATGAGATAAGTCTTTGGAAAGAAAAGAGAATCTATTAAAATGGGGGTTCTCAACCTTGAGCCTGAGTCTGAATCACCTGAAAGGCTTGCTAAAACAGACTGCTGGGCGCCCACCCCACCCACCGCACCCGCAAGCTTTCTGCTTTAGTAAGTCTGGGGTGGAGCGGAAAATTTGCATTTCTATCCAGTCCCCAAGTGCTGCTGCTGTTTCAGGGGGAGGTCACATTTGGAGACACCCCCCACACGCACACACCTTAGAAGTCCCCCAAGTACAAATGATGTCAACTTGACTTTTGGATACTAGTTGAATATTTAAAATACATACGAAAAACAAACCATGCATTTAATAAACATGTATTTCAACATGGTGTGCACGACATGGGCGGTAGGTCGCACTAGTGTGAAGATCCAAGTCACTCTTTCTTTACTGTGGGAAATAAATGGCGTGCGTACACTTTGCTTCTATTTACTTATGTTGTCTTTCCAGGACCAGGTGGAGAACGATGCCAACGTGAGTCTGGCAAGTTGGGATGTTGAGAAGACAGCCACCTTTGCTTTCAATATTTCCCGGGTCAGTAACAAGGTTCGGATCCTAGAACTCCTCCCAGCTCTGACAACGCTGACCAATCACAACAGATACTTGATTGAATCGGGAAACGACGATGGCTTCTTCAAAATCAACCAGAAGGAGGGGATCAGCTACCTCCACTTCACAAAGAAGAAGCCAGTGGTGGGAACCTATTCGTTACACATCAGCAGTACACCACTTTACAAAAAGAATGAACTTAACCAGCTAGAAGACAAATATGACAAAGACTACCTCAGTGGGGAACTGGGTGATAATCTGAAGATGAGAATTCAGATTTTGCTTCATTAATTCACCATCCAGCGACCAAAGTATTGAAAACAAAACAAAAATAGATAGGTAGAACTGAATTCCCGCTCCCCACCCCCATCATGGTCTTCATATCATAGGTACAATCTTTCTCCAAGTCAGTTTGTCTAAGTCAGCACTATTCTTGTATTAAAGAAACAAGGTACAGGTGACTACCCTAGTGTAACACAACCACTTTCTCAGGCTTCTTGTGAGTGTAAGCCAGCTACCTTGTCATGTGTGTTGATTCTTGGAAACCGGGACATAAGCGCGCTGGCCATCCCTGCTGACGAACCATCCTTCCAGCAGACGTACAGGAAAGTGCTTTCAATTAATGGACTGTTCTTGTCTATTTTCCAAGTTTGTGAACTTCACTCTCTAAGTCCAAGTACTAGGTTGGCCCATTTTATAATATCTACTTGGTGCTAGTAAAATTTCAAACTAGGTTTATAAATGCACTGTAATATTTACACAACTTAGAAACCAAAGTACAAGTATTCAGTTCAAATACTTCATTAAGTTCAATCAACCAAAGTTAGTGCAGTAGCTTTATCTCAGTTAGCATAATACCTTACATGTAAATTAAGTGTGTGTATACTGTAATCGTGCTATTTTTTATCATTGAAACATTTATAAACTAGAATAATAATGCCCTTTGTGTGAGGGTTTGTAATGGTGCTTATTAAGACCAAAGACTTGTTAAATGTATACACCAAGTGGTAATAAGATTCTGTGACTGGCCCGTGTGCACCCCGAGGCCTGCGAGGAGTGGGCCTGTCCAGCCAGAGGATCAGCAGTGCCACCTCCATCGCGGCGAGTGCAATATGCCGTGATCACCCTCGGTCATCCTGTCAACAGGGTTGATGTCATAAATGTCACAATAAAACAGTCTCTTCTTTTTTAGTTTCCCCCTTGGCTTTGTGTCCTCGTTCAGCGCAATACTTGGATTTGGGGCCAGAGATGCCACTCTGGAGGCTGATCGGAGTCTCCAGGATTGAAGTGATCCTGGGTTTGGTAGGCTGGAGACCGAGGTGGCAATCTGCTTCCAGTAAGCTCTCCAGCCTTGAAAACCCTCTGAGGCAGGTCTCCTTGGTTCCTGGAGGTTGCTATGAGTTAGAATCATCAACTCAATAGGGGTTCAGATGGGTCTGGTGGTTCACACTTGCCAAGACACCACATGTAGAGCCACTGTGTACGTGGTTTCTGATTCAGGCCAACTCTGTGTTACGGAGTAGAGCTTGTCCATAGCTCGCTCTTGGTTGCAGTCTTAACAGAGGCAGATTGGTCACCAGGCCTTTCCTTCTGTGGTTTCGAACTCACCACTGGGTGGGTTTGAATTGTCCTGCCCACCTGTGGGTTAGCAGTGGAACACACATTCTTTGTGCCTCCAAGGGAACCTGGGTAACCCCTAGGAAGAGTTAACATATTGTAGCCACTCCCTTGTCTTATTCACAAAGATCTCAGCATCTAGTGTCAACACCTGTGAATCACATGATCACTCCCCACCAGTGGGAAAGTCTGTCCTGCCATTGCCGAAACAAAACCTAGTTAATTCTTTGACTTTCAAACTACCCAAGATGCAGATACTTCCAAATACCAAATCCAGTCATTGTCTTAGAGCATATGTGTTCCATTATAAAAGATTTATCATACCCCCTCCCCTGAACTATACACAGAGTGTTGGCAAGTCTGAGGCGTTCCATCTCTTCTTCACCCAAAGCATCTGTTCTTAGTCAATGCTAGTCTAATAATAAAGGGATAATCCCAAACTGAGCAGCCCAATTGAATTCTGTGACTCTTGTTTTCTCCGTGTCATAATTTCAAAATGCTGTTTCATTTGAAATGTAATATTGAGTATTCACAGAATCAAGCTGATTCAATTGCTATAAAATAATATTAAAATTCCCTAGGTGTGGCAAGGCATTTTGTGGTGGTGAAAATAAAGGTGCAATAAGAGGGTTGCATGAAGTGGGTAAAGGACCACGTACAACACAGGCCATGTTCTCAGTCTTTGAAGAAGATGAAGGCCATCAGAGGGAACTTCAGAAAGTTCCTGGAACAATGGAGTTAAATGATAATGGAATTTCCCCATGACGTTTTTAAATTTTATTTTATTGGGGGCTCCCACAGCTCTTATAACAATCCATACATCAGTTGTATCAAGCACCTTTGTACATATGTTGCCATTGTTATTTTCAAAATATTTTCATTCTGTTTGAGCCCTTGGTATCAGCTCCTCTTTTTTTCCTCCTTCCCTCACCCTCTCCCCCTTATGGACCCTGATAAATTATAAATTCTTATTACTTTCATATCTTACACTGCTCGCTGTCTCCCTTCCCCCATGTTTCTGTTGTTTGTCCTCCTGGGGAGGCAGGGTGGAATTATACATCAGTCATTGTTGTTGGTCATTGAAGTTTCTCCCCCTTCTCCCCCCACCTTGCCCCTACCCTCATGGTTTCGCTACTCTCATTGTTGCTCCTGAGGGGTTTATCTGTCCTGGATTCCATGTGTCAAGAGCTCTTATCTGTATCCGTGTATATGCTCTGGTCTAGCCGGGTTTGTAAGGTAGGACTGGGGTCATGATAGTGGGGGTGGGGGAGGAAGTGTTAAAGAACTAGAAGAATGTTTTGTGTGGTGTGTTTTGCCCTGTCGTCTTGTTCTTTCCTTGTGACCCTTCTGTGAGGGAATGTCCAATTTTCTACAGATGGGCTTTGGGTTGCCACTCCGACCCCCATCATTTGCATCGGTATATTTGTTTGTTTGGGGTCTTCTGATTCCTGATACCTTGTGACACCTCATGATCACTTTGAAGTCCTTTCATAGGACCCATGTTATTCCAGAAGGCACAATCAGGGTCAGTTTCACACACACACACACACACACACACACACACAAACCGTCCTAATTATAGGGCTACCCCATGAGACAATTGCGTCTTGCAATGGTGTGAGCTTCCTGTCACTGTGGCTGGAAGGGCTTTGTAGGTTTAATGACAATTATTGAGTAGCCATGCTTTCTTTCACCTCACAAGCCATCTTCAAATCTTTTGGGTATTTCCTATTTTGCCATCCAAGAAATCTGGTTCATAATAGGTGCTCAATAAAGGTGATTTGAATGACTCCTTGGGACCAGGTAAGAGGGTGGAATACGATTTCAAGCTTGTTTGTTTGTTTTCCCAACCTATTACCTATTCAGACTGTTAGAGAAAAATAGATAAGCCATTCCCATTGCTGTCCCCTCAGTTCCAACTTCAGCATCCCTATTGGACAGAGGAGAGCTGCCCCTAAGGTTCTCAAGGTTGTACATGTTTCTGGAAGCCGAGGGCCACCTCTTCCTCCTGTGGAACAACTGGTGGGTTTGAACTGCCAACCTTGTGGTCAGCAGCTGCGAGCGCTTCACCCACGGTAAACAACAGTGTGCATATGGAAAATGTCTTTGATAATTTACCCTGAGCTGCATTATGTTCAATAATGGATTTTCTTTGTAACAAACACCAGAAGAAAATGGAGTTGGCATATAGTGGATCACTTTGATATGTTTAATAGTCTGAAGTCTGGAGTCTATTTATTCCAGAGCCAACTATTTGGAGCAGCATACTTTCCATGTTTCTGACTGTAACCAAACGTTTTCCTCATTGTCCCCTGGAAGGTTTTCCTCATGTCAGACCCCCTTTCATCTGAGACTGTAACCCATACCTTGTGATTGTCTGTGCGCTTCTCACTTTTGCTTTCAGTGGTGGAAGAACTTGCTTTTGTAAATCTTTCAGAAGCTTCATGAGATCTCTATCCTGGGCCATTTCATTTGCCAATAATTATTTTGTACGTAGGGGTGAAATTACTCAGCTGGCCTTGTGAAATGGTTAAACCTGCACAAACAACTACATTTTTGTTCAACAAATAGCACCGTCCCCCGCCAAAAAAACCTTGTATGCTGCCATCACAAATACTGGTGAACTTGAGCAATCATGTTTGTAAATTAGAGGAGCCAAAATAAAGGAGAATTGCACTGATACTCTATTAGCATACTTAAAAGTTAGAGGCCTATAAACTTGCAGCCGCTTTTATATCACAGAGCCAACTTCAGCTACAGAATCTGGTTGTTCTGGCTTGAACCATTACTCTTAGACGGGTGTTAGAAATGCAATCCTTCAAGGATGTAAGGGTATCCTTTGCAACGGCTAGACTTTTGTGACGGGAAGAAAGGTGGTCCTCGCAGATACCTGAAGGGAGTTATGAACGCATGGCCACTTTTAAGTAACACTGTGAAAAGCATGCCGATTCATGTGAGGTAACTCTTGAAGCCCAAGGTGAGCCTACTATTGTGTCTGAGATTTCGTTGAAAGGAGAAGCCTCCTCCTTCATGTTGAGTTTAGAGTTAAAAGGCAAAAAACAAACAAACAAAACAAAACAAAAAAAACCACCCAGTGTGAAGCTGGGGATTTCCATATGCCTAGGTAGCTGGCTTCGTGTACAGACCACTGCCCCAACCTTCTCACACACACGTCTGTGGCAACTGGAAGGTTCTGACAACAGAATCATGCACACGTGACACCTGACGCCCATTTGGCAGGGCCTGGCCGTATCAAAAAAGGCTGTTGTTTCAACCAATGGCTAATGAATTCAGAATGTTTCTCATGTCGAAATCATAAGCCTCTTGTTAGGACATAGGCTGGTGTGCATCCTTGATCCAAAACAGAGTTTTGACTTCTAATGGTGGATGTTCACTTCATTTGCACTTTGGGACAGGGGAGAGGACCTCCTTTGCAGTCGGAGCTGGTACCTGGGTGTCGTGTCCCATTAGCTCAGTCCTCTGCTCCCACTCCATGATCAGTTCTGTTTCACCCGAATGAACAGTTATGCCCATGTCGAAAATAAATGTAGCCCAGCCCTCTCTGTGCCCCCTCGTGGGTGGGTTTCAGTCTCAGCTGGAAGGTGGCTAGACTCGGTGCCTGCTACAAGCCGGAGCTCGTGTTCCAAGTTAAGCAACCGAAGTGAGAGCTTTAGCCGAAAGCAGCTGCTCTGCTCGGCGCTTCCCGCCCGATTTCCTGATCCCACCTGACGTGCTCTTTGCAGCTGTGCTGGGAGTTGCAGAGAGAAGCGGAGGCCTGTTTCCCTTTTTACCGTAACATACTCTCCTGGGGAGCAGTAAGTCAAACCCAAATGATCAGATTGTTCTTGCTCTGGACTGGACACAGGGGCAGTTCAGAACCTCCTGATGATAATCACATATCCCACTGATCCGACCAGCCATTGCCAGAACGAAGGCCCAGGCCAGTGAAGGTGAGTCTAGGTCAGTGATTCTCCACCTTCCTAATGCCGCGACCCTTTCATACAGTTTCTCATGTGGTGGTGACCTCCAACCATAAAATTATTTTCATTGCTACTTCATCACTGTCATTTTGCTACTGTTATGAATCGGGCGACCCCTGTGAAAGGGTTGTTCGAATCCCCAAAGGGGTCTTGACCCACAGGTTGAGAACCGCTGGTCTAGGTGGTCTGAATGGCCTCCGCAGCCCTGGGCACCGCTCCAAAGGGGAGCCATTAAGCAGTTTCTATTCACCCTCGCCAGCTTTGAGGGATTATTCAGCTAGTTAAAACTGAGAGTTGGCTATTTGAGACCCTCCAGGGTCAAGCTTCCCCACCTCCTGGGAGTGGGGGAGAGGAGGGTTCTCTGACCCATGAAGCAGCTCTGGTGGAGCTGTTAGATAGCATCGGACTGCTTAGCATACAATGTCTGCGGTTCAAACCCACCAGCCACTCAGTGGGAGTAAATTGAGGCTCTCTGCTCCCATAAGGATTTAGCATCTCAGAAACCTTAGATAGGGTTCCTCTGAGTCAGAATCAAGTCGAGAGCAGTGAGTTTGTTTTTTTGTTCTGTGTCAGGACAGCTTGTGTGCTCCCACTCTGCC